CCAAGAAGAACAAATATAACCCTCCTTCCACTTGGGAGCCCTTAAAACACTTGAAGACAGCTGCAGGTTGACCTTGGCATATACTTAAGACGACCAATGAACTATACAGAAAGGGATTGCGGCTTCAGGGCCAGTGCTCTACTGCTCCACTATGTACGTGGAAATACCTGTTTTATTGGATGTTTGTTAATTTCAGAAAAAAAAAAATTAAAAGATGGCTGTCCTGCCCTCCTCAAAGTCTTCTTTTCTCCACGCTAAACACACCTACTTCCTTCAGCCCATACAAGTGGCATGACCTTGAGGCCTGCTACAATTCTGGCTTACTTCCCCTGGACATGTCCTAATTCATCACTGTTCTCCCTAAAATATGGCATCCAGAATTGAATTGTTATTATTCAGTGATTTCAGTTTTATCTGACTCTTTGTGACCCCATTTGAGGTTTTCTTGGCAAAAAGATACTGGAGTGGTTTGCTATTCCTTATTCAGTTCATTTTAGAGATGAGGAAACAGACAAATAGGGTTAAGTGACTTGCCCAGGGTCATATAGCTACTAAGTGTCTGAAGCCAAATTTGAACTCAGATCTTCCTGACTCCAGGTCCAGCACTTCACCCACTCTTGCACCATGTAGCTGCCTCCTGGAATTGAGCACAATTCTCTAGATGTGGTCTGATCAGGGAAGAGGATAATGGGAAAACACTTCTTCCTCCTCCTGGACACTGAGCTTAAAATTGCAGTAGTTCTGAAAAAGGAAATGGCCTGCACATGGTCACACAGCTAAGGAATATCAGAGGAAGGATTTGAATTTGGATCTTTGTGACATCAGCGACATGGCTTTACCATATCACTGACTTGTCTTAAATTTTCGGTCTACTAAAATGCTCAGGTTTCTTCATAAGAATGGCTGCTTAGATGATCCAAGACGATTCCAAAAGACTCATAATGAAAAATGCTATCCACATCCAGAGGAAGAATGATGGAGTCTGAATGCAGACGGAAGCAGACCATTTTCACTTTTTGGTTGCTTTTTACGGATTTTCCCTTTTATTGTTTCTTCTTTCACAACATGATTAATGTGGAAATATGTTTACATGATTGCACATGTAAACCTATATCAGATTGTTTAATATCTTAGAGAGGGGGGATTGGAGGGAGGGAGAAAAAAAACTGAAAGTCAAAATCTTATAAAAATAAATGTTGAAAATTATCTTTACATGTATTTGGAAAAAGTAAAATGCTATGTACAAAAAAAAGAACGTTTGTTTAATCACACTTCCCCCATTTTGTCTTTGGGAGGTTGATTATTTTTAACAGAAGTGTAAGACTTTATTTTTAATCTATTAGATCCATTGCTATTACATTTAATTCTATTTAACACATCATTCTAGCCTATCCAAAGTTGTGTAGATGTTAATTGTGCCATCCAACAGCTCTATGTTATCAAAAATTAGATAAACATGTCAGCTATGCTTTGATCTAAGTCATGACAAAAAATGTTACCCAACACAAACCTCTGGGGGTACTCAGATATCCAAAGTAGCCATTGACCCATTATGGCTCCTTTTTGGACTGGGTCACTCACCAGTTTCAAATACAGCTCCCACATCCTCAGGTAGTCAATATCTCTCTAGGCTTTTCAAAAGAATGGCATAGGAGTTTTATCAGGTGCTCTGCTGCAATGTTGATATGCTGTGTCGACCACATTCTCCTGTTCTAGTAACTTTGTCAGCTAGGAAAATGATAAACCTTGACATACTTTGTTGTAAACTTATGCTGGCTCTCTCTGTTCCTTCCCTTTCTGCACAGTCAGAAAGCATCCCTTTAATAATATGTCCTAGTACAGGGGTGTGGAACCTGCCAAGAGTCCAAGTCATCCTCACTAATTGATAACAGTCAGATATAACCCTCTTCTGCTTTTTGAATATTGGGACATTGGTCCTTTTCCAGTCCTATGACTCCTCTCCCTTTTCCAAGGTCCTTCGGAGATCACGTACAAGGGCTTGACAGTCACACAATACAGCTGTTGTTTCCATAGCCTAGGGTCTAATTCATCCAAGTGCAGTCATTTAAATTCACTGAGGAAAGCCGATGGCTCTCTGTCTCCTCGTTTATCTTGGGACTTAACTCTTTTAAACATTTTGGTCTTCTCTTATTCTAAGTCCAAAGATTGTAAGATAATAGGTTTAGGGTGGGAAGAGATGTTAGAGGCCATTTAATCCGACTCCCACATTTTAAAGACCGATGAGACAGATCCAAAGGTATGTCCAAGGTCACACAGGTTATAAACAGTAAAGGCTGGATTTGAACTCAAAGCCTTCTGAATCCAAATTGAATACCATCTCCACCAAATCTTGCCAGCAAAGAAAATTTGAGCAGTCTAAGAGCTGAGTAGTTCTGCCTTCCTTCAGTTATTTGTTATCATCAATCTATGCGCATAGAATATTTGCTTCCAACAGTGTGTGTGTGTGTGTGTGTGTGAATTTCCCTTTTCATGTTGCCTTTAGAGACTTACCTTCAATTCATTCTGATCTCTATCACACTGGAAGCTTCTCTTACAGTGTTCTTTTACTCATCCTGGCTCATACCTTATGTGCACATCTTCCTAAAATCTGAGTTAGTTGATATGAATTTAGTCATGTCTTTAGACCCCTCCTTCTTTCCCCCATCCACAGAATCACTAACTGGCAGTTACTTGATTCCTACTAACCCTAATGGGAATACAAACTCCCTCAGCTATTCTCTGTGTGAAGGTCCCAAGGATGAATCCAATCTCCTTGAAAAGTGTATCTGATTCACTCTAATTACCTTCCTCCTCTTTCCAGTGTCTTCCTACTGATACTGCACCCTTTCAGTTTCCCTGAGATCCATGGGGTCATCTACTTTGCTTCCTCAGTTTTGTCATGAGTAGCTTAGCTAGATTCCTGGTCACTAGTAGAATTATGGGGCTGCAGCAAGTTGGTTCTCTGGAGCCTTGAGGCTTACTAGCTCAGGGTTGAGGAATGCTTGGAAAGGTCATTCCTGTCCCAATGTACCCTGGGGACTGGGCCAGAGCAAGAGAATGACTGGTGAGGAGGGCAATTCTGGGATCACACAGTTTATACCTGGAAGGGGCCCCAATGACTGCTGAATCATTTAAAAAATGCTAAAATTCAAGCTGTTAGTGGGCAAGTCATTTGCTCAAGACCTAAAATTAGGATACCACCTCATAACTTCTGATTTCAAAGCCAATGCCCTTCATTCTATTATGACACACTTCTCTGGAACTACAGAGAAAGCTTAAATATGACCCCTGGGGTCCAGCTCACACCTGGGACTCCTCAGTCAATTAGAACTTTCAGGTATATCTATCTTATGAGTAACCTCTTTCTACCTCTCCATTGGCTATTCATATTCAATGGCAAGAGAGATCTTTTTTCCAGGGTACTTATAAACTCTGTGGACCTAGTGAAGGTCTGACCTGATTTCCCCAGGGACATTCAAAGGCCACAAAGAGATGGATGGCATGTTCCCCCCTTTCCCAGCTTTTCAGTATTTTGGAACTAATATAATCATCCTGCCTATTAGCGTCATCCTGTCTGTGACTGAAGTTGTCCCAGAGATGCTTTCGGTGAGCTTATATCCTTATCCTTTTATCCATTTACAAAAACAGGTCGTTTTCTCCATCAGTGCCGCAGCCCAGAAAACAACCAATGTCAGAGGATGATAGCCTGGTTAGCAACTTGTCACAGGACTTCTAGTTGAACTAAGAAAATAATAAGACCATGGGACTTTCGATTATTGAGCTGGAAGGGACCTGAGAGGGAAAAGGGTCCACCCCTCCTCCCCATTTTACAGATGAAGAAACTGAGATCCTGAAAAATGAAATGGTTACATAACTAAAGAGTATCTGAGGAAGGATTTGAATTCGGATCTTTGTGACACCAATCTCCTCCAATAATCACAACGTTAATGACTACCATTTACGTAGCACTTTGAGGCTTACCAAGCACTTTAAAGACATGATTTCATTTTATTCCCAGAATAACCCTATGCAGTCAGTATTATGATCCTCTTACTACAGATGAGGAAACTAAAGCTCTGAGACATGAAGTCATTTACCCAGGATCACACAGCCAGCTGATATTAGCGGTAAGGTGGGAACCTCAGTTTTCCTGCCTCCACCACAAACCTCCTTGCCTCTCACGGTGGATGGGTGGTGGGAGTTGGGTTAAAGCCCTTAAAACAGTTTTCTGCAGCATCTGATGAACCTGTGACTATTTCTCAGACACTCTCAGATGTAATACTAACAGTTAATGTCCAGGGGTCAGGAGACAGATAACTTTCTCCTCCTCATTGCCAGGACCCTGGTGTCAGGTCACATCTCTTATTTGGCTGGCTTCCTTAATCCAGGTATTCCTTCGATGCCCAATCATGGCAGAGATAACCTCTAGGTTCTCAGAGGCTTGTGCTCCATGGGCAGACCCTACCAAGTGGGAGAGCCATGAAATCCATCAGCTGGGCACCAGCGGAGCTCCTCACCAAAGACCTGGCCAACACCAGGTAATACATTTTTCAGGAATAAAAAAGGGAGACAGTATGGTGCAATGGAAAGACAGCTCTGTTGGGTCAGAGGAACTGGGTTCAAATCCTGTTTGAAACTTGTTCAATGATTTCAGCTCTATGGGTCTCACTTTCTTAGTCTATAAAATGGTCAGACTATATGGCCCCTAATGAATAGTTCCTTAGACCTCGAAATGCAGGAGCCTCTGAAAGGCTAGGAGGGGCTCTATCTATAGTAAATACAGCAGGCACACAGATAGAATCAGGAATCCTTTCAATTGCTCAGCTGGCCTTGCTAAAAGACCTTGAGGCATGAAGTTTTACAACCTAAATCCTTCCTGGTGTGGGATTGCAACATCACAGGAAGGAGAAAAGACATGTTGACTTCTGAAAGCCCCAAGATTAATCAGTAAACCTCCCCAGCGTCCTTCTCATGGGGCAGCAATGAGTCTCCTGCCTTACCTTCATACATCTCCAGAATGTGGACTGTGTCTCCAATCTGCAAAGACAGCTCCACGTCTTGGGATGCATTGTAATTGTAGATTGCTGGAAATGGGAAAAAAAAAATAGATGTCACACAACAGTGAAAGACAACTCCTCAGACAGCAACCCACTACTGCAGAGATCAGCATGAGCAGCAGACCAAATCACGTGCTGGTGCCTGGCACATAGTAGGTGCTTAATGAATGTTTGCTGATTGATCGATATTCCCTCTGTGCCTGAGACACAAGGAATGTCACAGCAGAATAATACATACATTTATTATGACTCTAAAAATGTTTATAAATTTATGAGGATCATAGGGTCACAGGATTAGATTTAGGAAGGGACCATATCACTCCTGGGCAGCAAGGTGACGCAGTGGATAGAGCGCTGGGCCTGGAGTCAGGAAGACCTGAGTTCAAATCTGGCCTCAGAAACTTACTAGCTGGGTGACCCTGTCAAGTCACTTAACCCTGTTTGCCTCAGTTTCCTCACCTGTCAAATGAGCTGGATAAGGGAAACCACTCTAGTATTTCTGCTAAGAAAGGCCCAAATGGGTTCATAAAGAGTCAGATACAACAGAAAAATGACTGAAAAAATGTTACTCCCTGCTTAAGAAGCTGCAGTTGGCTCACTCTTGCTCTGAGGAAAAAAAACGCCAATACCCCCTCCTCTCAAGCCCTCCCCAGGGTGGCTCAGCACAGCTTTCTGGATTACCCTTGTTCCAGCCAAACTGCCCTGCTTAGGATTATGGAATGAGAAATGGAGGTGACCTTCAAGGTCCTCTAGTCCAAACCCCTCATTTTACAGTCAAGGAAACTGAACCCAGAGAAGCCAAGCGACTTGCCCATGGTTAAACAGCTAATAAGTGTCAGAGTTGGGATTTGAACCCAGGGCCTCAGACTTCAAACCCAGCATCCTTTGCTGTGAACTCTGCAGCCCTTCCTATACAGCCACATTCCCTCTCCAGTCTTGATGACTGAGCACAGGCTCTCCCAGGTGTCTGGAATCCTCTTTTGTCTTCCTCAGACAATCCTCACTTTCCTTCTAGACTCAGCTTGTAAGAAGCTTATTCTGATATTCACACAGTTGCAAGGACCCTCATCTCAGAAATTACTTTTCAAATCATTTACATTTCATTTCTTTGCACAAACTGTTTTCTCTTAACAGATAGTATGCTCCTTAAGGGAGGGCTGGGACTCTTGGGGTTTTTCAGTTGATTCTGTTGTTTTTGTACCTCTAGCATCCAGCACAGTGCTGGCGCACAGTAGGTACTAAATAAAAACCGATTGAATTGAATAGAGTTGAATAGAATTGATGAATTAACTTGCTTACAGTCACACATCTAACACACAGTGGAGGCAGGACTCACACTCAGGGCTTCCTGACTCCAGATGTAGTGCTTTCCCTTCTAATACCATAGTGCTAATGATGGTGCCATTTATGGAAATAGGAGTTTAGAGCAGGCATGAGTGCCTGAGAGGCAGTAAGGGGAGGTTATAAGGGGATAGAATTGGAGTCAGGGAGACCTGGTGACCCTGGGCAAATCATTTAACCTTGCTTCAGTCCCTTCCAACCCAAGGACAGCTCACCACTCTTCTGGTGATTGATCCAGAAGCTGGTCAATTCATCCCCGAGGGATTTGCATCAGTCAAATTTTTCATGTTGGGTCTCAGGAACTCAGATCTAGAGATAGAAGGGACCTCAGAAGCCATGAGTCCAACCCCTTCATTTTACAGATAAGGAAACTGAGGCTCAGAGTGGGTAAATGACTTGCCCAAGGTCACACAGATAGTAAATGGTGGAGCAAGGATTTGAACTTGGTCCTCTGCCCTTCAGTTCAAAGTTCACTGTACTACACTGCCTCTCCTGCTGGTCTAAAAGTATGATCTGAAGTATTTACAGGACTGTTACCTGGAAGAGAGATTTGACTTGTTCTGTTTGATGGGTGAGAGCAGAAAAGGGACAACCAGAGGAGGTGCAATGAGAAAGATTTAGGGATGATACAAGGAAGAACCACCCAACAATGAAGGCCGTCCCCAAGCAGCCTGGGTTGCCTTAGGGTGGGGTTTCCCTCTCCTGGGATAGCTTCAAGTCAAGTCTAGATGCCCTCTCTCCCCTCCCCCCAAGGGCATTTGAATAGGAGATTCCCGTACAGGTTGGGGTTAGGTGGACACTGAAAAGGGGCCTTCCCAACTCTAAGCTGGTGTGCTGCTGTGGCCACTCCAGGCATTTGTTGAATCCTGGGGACAACAGATTCTCTGCTTTCTATGGTTGCCCCCAGAGCTCCTCACTGTTAAGTGGCTGATGTATTTAACTCATTAAGAAACTGGCTGGTTTTCCAATACAGGAAATGGGTGGAACAGCAAATATATAATTAAATTAGTCAGCACCCAGGCATTCTCAGGCAAGCTGTGATGTTTCAGCTGATGCTGCAGTCCACCTGGGCAACGTTTGCTGCTGAAGGGAGGAATCACAACATTGACAACCTGCAGATGTCCCACCTAGAAGGGCAGAAGCAGAATCATTGCCCCAGTGTAACCCAGAGGGTTAAGGCACCCCAGGGCTACAAAGGATGGAGTGGGAGGCTATAGGAAACGAAACTCCAATTTCTCTCCAACCTTCCTCATTCCCATGGACAGCACCACTATCCTGTGGATTAAGGAAGCAAAACTAACAAGGCCCTTCAAGGTCATCTAGCCTAACCTCTTCCTTTTACAAATGAGGAATCTAAGGTCCAGAATGGTTGTGACTTGCCTAAGACCACCGGGCAGTAAGCAATGGAGGTGGGATTTGAACCCAGGTCCTCTGATTCCAAACCCATGCTCCTTCTACTACATCAGACCCCTTGGGCCACCTAGGGTCAGAGGGCTGGACTCAATGGCCTTGGAGGGTCACTTGCAGCTCTGAATCTATGATCTCGGGATGCTTGACAAGAGGTCATTGAGCTTTTGTCTGAAGACCTCCAAGGAGGGGAACTCATCATTTCTCAGAGCAGGCCATGTCACTTTGGGGTAGCTCAAATTATTAGGTTTTTCTTACACCAAAAGCCAAATTTGCTTCTTTGCAACTTTTACCAGTTGCTTTTGGTTTTATCCTCTCAGGCCAGGCAAAACAAGTACCTTCCCTCTTCTCCATGACAGCCCTTCAGACCCTAGAAGACAGCTCTTATGCCTTTCCCAAGGCTTAACTAAACATCCTTAAGGTCTTTCAACCAATCCTCAAATGTCATTCATTCAAGGCTTGTCACTATCCCAGTCACCTTCCACTGAAAACTCCCCAGTCCATCAATATTTTCCCTAACTGGTAGCGATGGGGGCCTCCATACTTGCTCACCATATTGGTACCAACTTTTCTCTCTTGCCTTGTTCTCTCTCCTGACTCCCACAAGCTAACTCCCTGCCCACCTCCAGCTTCACTCCTCCATTCCAGGAATTCCCCACTTCCTCCCTAGCACCCAGAGATGCCTTCATCATGCCCTCTCTTCTGATTTGTGGGGTCCAGGCTCCACTTCTCACTCCCCCCATGTCGTTCTCATTCTCTTTTATTTGTAAGAAGCTCTCAAGCTCTCCCCCTCTCTGTCTTTGTATCTCAATGAGGGATTGGGGGTTCTTTTTCCTTCATTTTCTTCGGTGTCTACTTGAGATAACATCAGACCAGGGAGAAACCAGGGAGATGAAGTCACTTTCCCAAGATAACAGAGTTAGAAAAAGGCAGAGCTGAGGTTGTGAACTATTTGATAAATTGCTCAACTGGGATTCAAACCCAGGTCTTCAGACTCTGAATCCAATGATTTTTCTTCTACAAATACTGTACAGTATAGGGAAAAATACTTAAACTCATTGAAGACTCAGTTTCATCCTTGCTAAAAATAAGGAGTTGTGACATATCTCCTTGAAGGTTCCTTCCAGCTTTAAATTCAGTGATCCTATGGGAGTTTATGGGCAACTAAGTGACACAGCAGACAGTTGCAGGCCTGGAGTCAGGGAGACTCATCTTCATGAGTTCAAATCTGGCCTCAGACACTGACTAACTGTGTAACCCTGGGCAAGTCACTCTACCCTGTTTGCCTCAGTTTCCTCATCTATAAAATGATCTGGAGAAGGAAGTGGCAAATCACTTCAGGATCTTTGCCAAGAAAACCACAAATAAAGTCATGAAGTCACATGACTGAACAACAAGGGGAATTTATAAAAAAATCCCTGACTGTCCTTTTCTCTTTTCTAAGAGGCCTCTCTAATAGTTGGCATGTCTCAGTGTTTGGGAAACATTCTGCAGGGACTGGGCTATTCATCTCCCTTCCCCATGGATAAGATGCTTGATGAACTTCGACTCAAGGTTGTCTATTTGGAAGAGAGTTTGCTAAGGCGCTTACAGAGTTTAGGAGTTGGAAGGGTCTTCAGGGGTATCTAGTACAACATGTTCATGAGTAAGAACCCATGACCCAGTGGTCCTCCAACCTCTGCTGGATCTCCAGTGAGGGTCAGCCCTCCCACTCTGGGCAGCCCCCTGCACTTCTGAACAGCACTAATGGGCACGATGCTTTTTTAGACTTCTAGTCAAAATTTGCCTCCTCTGTGATTTCTACTAGCTTCTAGTTTTACTCTTCTTGTTGCCCTACTTTGTTCTCCAAATTATCAATGTCCTTCCTAACTGGGGTGCCCAGCACAGAGCACAGAACTCTAGCTGTATTCTGACCAGGGCAGAGAATAGTGTGACCATCATCTCCTTAGTTCTTGACTCTCTTCTTCTATTAACGGAGCCTGGTATAGAAGGGACATTTGGGGGCTGCCATCTTACATAGACTCACTTTGAGTTTGCGGGCCACTAATTACCCCAGTTCTTCCCCACCCCCTCAATAAATTTCTGTTTAGCAACCATAGATTGTCCCATAGAATTAGTACTTTCGGTTTTCTTTCCCTTTATATATACTCCACGAGTTCAGAGGCTTTCACTTTCATCACTGAATTCCCAGAATCTAGTACAGTGCCTGGTGCTTGGTAGGTACCTAACATATTTGTTGAATAGCTAACCTTAGGAGAGAGCTTCTTTGAAAGCCAAAA